CTCGAATTGACTGCTGCTTTCGATGCATTCGAATTAAAGCATTCAGCAGTTGCAATAGGATTACGACCACAACCCTAGAATTTGAGAGATTAACAACAAAGTTGAGCTGTGATTAGGGAACCTACGTAGTTTCTTTTCAACAAACTATTGTATTTAAATACGTATATGTGGGTAAATTTCAATACGTTTTCATTCTTAAAATTGTAGTTTTCTTAAAGATTTTCAATTTGTCGTTAATGAATGAACGCAGTTCGATACATGATGCGTATTGCAGTTGTGCCAAGCGATTGACCGTACCGGCACTTGACATCACAACAACACCAGCCAAATTGCATGTGTTCAGGAACTACAGCGTCAATTCTGAGATCTCCAGATCACCAATGGACGATGCACTCTTCCGTGATGCAGCACGGGCGAGCGGGTGAGTGTGTTGCTTTGAATGCTGTAACTATTGCATGCCTCGACTATCATGAGATGTTTCCTAACGTTGTATCGTATTTTGTGTTCAGTTCGGTTGGAACTGTCGCATTCTAATTGCAAGAGAGAAGTGATTGTTGCCATTTTGCACGAAAACGCTCCCGATGATGATGGTAATCGATGAACGCTTCTCATTTTTTCTTGCCTATGACACGAATCGTTTCAGAGCCGCACCAACCTATTTCAATCCACATACAGTGAATGGTCGAGTTCTTGTCGATGGCTCGTTTGTTGCGAATTGTCCACTTAATTTACTGTTCAAGGTGAGTGAGGGCATTCGTTTGAGGAACTTTTGAAAGCGATTGTTATTCCAAGCAATTCAGCATTCGGCAAAAGAACCGTCTGGTTTGAGGCCTTCGAAATCACAATATCCGTGTTTACAAAAGAAATTACAGTATTCATGTGTTGCAATTGGTTTCACTCAAAGATTACTCGTCATTTCAAATGAAATTCCACTGAATGACATCGTAAATTGAACACTAGAAATTGCTTACTTTCACAATACTTTTTTGATCGTCAATATTATC